AATAATAACCTTGTTAAAACTATACTTGGGAGTAAAGAAACCGAGCCATTATCGTTTTTGTTTTTCATTTCTTATATACATATTAGCATTTTATTAATTGGTAACGAATGCCGTATAAAGGGCAATTTAGTTACCTTTAAAATGTGAGCATTTTGTTGTATCAGGAATATTTAAGTTTTAAAGTTATAGAGGGTTCGATAAAATGGAAAAAAAATCGCTAGTGACTCCGTTTATTTGCTCCCAAGTGTATTTAATTTGTATCACTTGACATTGATACCCCTTATATTTCATCTTTATGTAGTACCCAGTAAAGTAATTAAAGCAAAACACCAAGCCAGTTTCGTTTAAAAATAAACACATAATTGAAAAGAAAAATAAGTTAATTCATAAATAATTAATGTTGCTAGTACACGACACGAAAGGGGCGTACGAACAGGTTATATCTTTTACAAAGTAACTGTGACCATGGAAAAATAAACACATTACTATTCCTACTGGGTGGGGAATTACAAATGAAAATAGTCCTTGTTACTACTTACATAACATTAAACTTGGTTATGTAGAACGGATAAGGATAGTCATAGATGATGAGGACATAGAAGAAACAGAAAAGGACAATGATGCAATACCCAACGAGTCACTGGGCATTAGAAATGTAAATTCCAAATATGTATAATATTTCAGGCATCTTTTACCAATCGAAAGACCATGACCTGCTAGACTAAATCTACACAACAGGATTTGCTTTGTTATGGCAAATCCTGTCGTGTTACATTTCTATATAAATAGATCATGCACCACCGATAGACCAGTTGGGACTTGAAACCGTTTCACACTGACGCAAAGAATCCAATAAACACTAGTACAACACAAATCACTTGGACAAACATTCAGACCATTTGGTATCAAAGGCGGAATCTAAATCAGCGTGGTATCCATTCGGCACGCTGCATGCTGAAGAGACAATCAATGCTGTATCTAACGCAGATAAATGACACGTCGACGCGGCCACAGAATTGCCGTATCGGCTATCAGTGGTTGCCATATAACGCCTTCACTACATTTCATTGAATTTATTGCAAATTGTTAGAATTGATGTGGTTGGAAATAATTTAAGAGGTACGTGACAAAAAACCGAGCCTTTTTGCTCCCTCGATTGTTGCAGGTACCACTGTGCTAAATTTCCGACTTGCTGCTAATTCATCATATTACTATTTAAGAATAAGGATTTTTTAAACAATGAGACTACGATGAAAAGATTGAAAAAAAAATGCTTACAAGCGGAAAAGTAATGTATAAATTTCTATTCTTTTAATAATCCTCTGGAAATACAATATCACCGACAAAAAATCGATATTGACCTACATTAAGAACATATCGACACACTAAAGGCAATTCCGAACTGTACTATTAACGATAAATTATAAACAGTTAGTCACGATAAACATATCATAAACGCTGATGTTGATAATTAAGTGCGTAATTTCACTATAGAATTTGAAGAGAGCAAATTTAATAGTGGCAATAATGATAGTAAGTTACAACGGGTAGATGTAACGTTAGGCGATGTACTATTTTATTGCCATTAGGCTATTAAACTCATAATTCGGGTCAATAGAAACAATTGTAATATAATTAATGGGAATGAAACCTGATTGGGAGAAGGTGAAACTTTGAAAGTAAAGGGCCAAATCGTGCAGAAACACTCAATCGTCGAGTTAGATCGTGCTGCTAATTATATGGAAACTGTACACTTAAATGTAATGGAAAGGGCATAGGTAATAATTACGATCCAATTGATATGGTTAAGGCGGAAATTGGACAAGTATACATAGAATTATTGGTAGCAATTTCCTCTTCGTTAGAGACAGAAAATTGGTTATAGAAATTTATTTGCTGACACGAGCACGTACTGCCGGACAATCAGGTCAATCGCTTGACCAAAATTACAAAAAACTAATTTAGGTTCGTTTAGAAAAACTTTCAACATTTTCGTGTTTTAAGAGGCTTTATCCTATTTTCGACGCAATCATCTCCCGCGGTTTGCCACAATTCCATTTGCTTCACCGCTTACGTTCACTGCCTCTTTTTACCGAGTCCATCCACCGCAATACAAAAAACCGAATCGCTAAACGCCTTCACGTTTTTTCACATACGTCAGATTTCTACGATTAATTCCAACTTGCAATCAAAGCTTTCAATGATACGTTCCCTCAACGATAAAAGTATTCAACAGTTTAATAAATTTATGATCCATGAAACCTGTTACATTCGTTAATTTAAGTCCTATCTTTGCAATCTGTCTATAAAAAGATAACAAATGTTTTACGTTTTTATCTTCATTGTATGATGATAAGATTTATTTCATTATCATTACAAAATTCTCTGTTTGTCATCACCATTATCTTTTTTACGGAACTTGCAAAGAAGAAATATTTTTCCTCGCTTACAACCAGAGACGAGACAAAACACAGCCGCTTTGAAGCGAATAAAAAAACTAATCGAACACCGGATGGTCTGGCAAATAAATAACACAAGTACATTAACGGACATGTATGCCAGTCGATTGATCTCGATGACTTGTTTGCATCGAGTAAAAAAACTCAGGAGATTGGATGCAATAAAGCAATTTACTATTTAACGATTGTTGATTTTAATGTCACAAAATAGGCGACTCCAGTACTAGATAATGACGAGATCGCATCACGATGTGATCTAGTTCTCGATAATGATACGTTCCAGTAATTACTGAGATCAATCTTTTTGTGCGCATAGTTCGTGTCTGTTAACATGTGTGGTACAACTTGATATTATGTTACTTCTCAGTTAAAGATTGCTTTCAAAAGGCGAACTCATACTGAGTTTAAAGTTTCATATAATTATGGGACATTTACACAGAGGAATGATTTCAATAAACGTCTCGCTCAAGGTTACATGACACATTTTAACAGAGTACAGACATATGGTCTCACTTACGTGATAACATTTAAAATAAAAAGCCACTTAACACGCAACGACTCGTCCATTACTACCAAATCTGTTTTGAATGAGACCACCCACAGAGCAGAAGTGTTTAATAATGCATAAAAAAGCGGAACTAACGACAAAAATACACGAGAAGCGGAAAATGTGCAATCTGTCCTACCTAAAAGGAAAAATCGGTTCTATAATTAACAATCCAAGGCCGATCTTCAATGTCCGATCTTATTTATAGCCTTTTAAGTGGAAGCGATCGATAACAACGTGGGAATCAAGACCACTTGTCCCGTTGAACGTATCTTCTTCGACTGCGATGGACAAGAACGATTAGAAGGGATAGGGTTCGATTGTGATCCCGATAACAGAACATTGGTTTATGCAATGGTTTGTATTGAATAAATTAACGAATCTGGTGTGAGAAAAGATGTCGAAGGCAATAAATATGGATAAAAACACAAGTGTGCCGTTCTAAAGAAAATGCTGAATGTAAATCGATACCCTGCTTTGGATATCTAGGAATGTCATTAGAGTTTTAAACTGAAATAAAATGTTGATTTGTAGCATGGTATTTGCTAGGAGCAAAATATAATATTTATTTTTTAATTGAGACGCAATCAGAAGTGCATTTAAAGTAAACCTACTAGTGTCACACTAACGAGGTTGTTAAGATCTTAAGTTAATAGTACGAGTGGCGACCTTAGACTAAAGCCCACAATCACTGCTCAACAAGCTATCGTAGATCTAGAATTCTGAATAATTTAACAGCTCATAAAGAATATATTAAAACAAATGGTGTTAATGAGAATGCCATAAAACAAAATATCCATTAGGAGGCATGGAAAGACCCGACATACGTGTCTACCTCTGGTAATCGATATGATGCACCGTGCATAGTTACATATTTAATTAATGATAGTAACTAGAAATAGATCTTGATGATACACTTTTATACGCCAATGTCATTCTTATTTAGCAAAATCTAGTTGTGTACAACCAGTAGTTTCTAAACACCCCTAATACTGTTGAACATTTAAATAAGGACATTGCTTAATATCATTAAATCAAAATAACTACTGTCGCACATTTGTCAGAACTATGATATTTATGTGTTCACTAACGTAGTAATAGCCTTATGCTAATGATTTAAGTACTGAGTAATACCAGAATAGAGACTTGAATTTGTATGTTTAACTAAGAAAATAAACGAAATAGTATGCAAGTCAAAGAAACAGATCCGGTTGTATCTGGATAAAGCACTAAATGAATGAATGATGTAACAGCGATTGGTATAAATATTGTTGATAGGAATTTTAAGTGTAATGCACGAGCTTTCAGATATTCAGAGATTGCATTGGATGCAATGCAAACAGCTTAATATGCTTTAACAACTGATGTGGGTGGGCTAGTAATGGATACGTGTACAGCTCCGAAAATGAATGGGATTGGAAATAGTCCCAAATCAGATACACAGCAGCGTGGGAAACAACTAAACTGAGAATCAATATCAGTTTCTTATGAATTTCGATGCTAAATGGAACACAATAAGGTCCCAAATATAGATGTGTGAGAGAAAATGTCATGGTAGGCGCTAAACGTTCAATAAAGAAATATCAAACATTAAGTACTTTATCAGGTCAGTAAAGAGTTAACCCAAACATTAGCCATATTTGTCGTTCGAATTCTAATCGAAATAAAATGTGTTATTTTAAACATGTTGGGCCAACATTGGAAAGATAAGTGTATGGACACAAAAATTATAGGCAAACAATGATCGATGGCCCACTAAAGTTGCTATGTTGACGAACGATGGCAAATAAGAAAAAATAACATTCCAAAATATGGAGGTTTTCAATGTGAAAGCGTACTGTTTTCTAAACACGTAACTGGATAAGTAGGAATGAAGATAATGCTTATAGATATTTATAATATTGTGGCATCTACAATTTACGACATGGAAAACTTTTCGTTTCGAGGAACAAAACAGACTATAGAATAAAATGTTTAGCGTCTATGAAACTTACCGTGACCACAGGAAGGCCGAGCCCAACGATGTACAGCATAACATTGGTGACTGTAGACTCTTTGTAAGGGTGCTTAAGAGATTCATCGTCGCAGAAGAAACCTCGTTTGTATGGAGTACCCCAGAGGTAGAACACGAGGATTAGGAATCCAACTGTAACAAAAAGAAAATACAATTAGCTCAGTATACATAGAATAAGAAAAAATTAAGAGAGATGTTGGTAACACCTAGCCACTAATAAGGACTGCTACAATAAATTTCTAATTTATTGCAAATTTGGTAATGCAGAGAAATTAGGTAAATTAAATTTAATTGATATAGTGTTCTCAACTTAACGCATGCTGTGATGTCCTTCAAATGTTGTGCATTAGCAGTAAGATGTTAATTCCTAGTTTTAAGTTAATGATAAAAATGTAGCAACAACTGGATGTCCAAATAAATAAATAAATAAATAAATAAATAAATAAATAAATAAATAAATAAATAAATAAATAAATAAATAAATAAATAAATAAATAATTAAATAAATAAATAAATAAATAATAGCTGGCCTCATTGGAGATTCCCAAAAAGTGGTGTCAATTAGACTCTCGACCGGTATTTTTGACTTAACAAATGCATGAATGTGATCGGTGTTCAAGAAGTAAGTGTGAATCGTAAAACGGATATCTCGATACTTATGCCTTATTTAGCTTATTTATTAAAGAGTACGTATTACTTTCATAAAGGTTTATTTTCACGACACTGAAAAACCTGAAGCAAGTTATCGACAAACCAAAAATAATTGTTAACGATCTGATAAAACAACTGTATTTACCTAACAAAAACTTGGCGTCACAATCAAACCTTGATACAGATGACATAGACAAAACAAAAGATAAACTAATGCTTGTTAAAATATCATTAATAAAACAAGGGAAGGCTAAAGACAATTATTTTAAAGGTCAATTCAACAGAGATATTTCTTGCACGAATGCTTGTTATCTTACGAAAGCATTTTCATGATTTTAATAGGCACATTTAGGAACAACATCCTCTTTAGTATTAAGATATCTTAAAATAGAGTCACAATACACATTTTTCATCGCTAAAATCTTTGTCTTTAGTCAAAAATAACTATGAATTTAATAAATCATCATCCTCTGTATCCCGTTTATCATGTCCTGTCTAGTTGTCATCACTGGAGTATTAACAACTGTTAAACTCTTTATAGTTGACAACAACAGCTGCAAGAACTTTATTCCATAAATCATCTACATTTTCTAACCTTATATCAAGAGTGTGATTCGTGGCAGTCATTGCATCTTATTACTTATTTGTTTTATAATCATATCTTATGCAGTGCTTACTGCTTTTATCGTCATTACCATTACGCCATTCGTTTTTTAAGAGAATAGTTTTAGTACACATACAGACAATTTTTATCAGCTCTAACACGTTCAGAATTATTCGTATCTGTAATATCTATGACTATTTCGACTAACTAGAATATTATATCATTTCAAACTTCACTTAATAGAAAAATTAATAATAATTACAATCATATGTAACCATAACTTTTACAAAGATAAACAGCATGACAAACAGTAGCAGGAGACGATAAATCATACAAACATAGATTTAACATTTCGCTAGTACTTGAACAGTGGATTAAATTTATTTATAGACTCCCGATTAACTCAGATTAATGTCGCGGACAACGAGAGCATTGATTAATGAGTTTATTTATACGACAAGTCAAACAAGGCGAAAACTTATTAGGGCTGTCCACAGTCAGGAATGTGTTGCGAATGGATTTATAGCGGCTTAGAATTCGGCCTAGTCACAATAACAAGACGTTAATATTATAAGGTAGCCCTTGATTAAGGTCGGAGTGGTTGAAACTGTTTGGAATTGGACATTATTGTGGACAAAGATTGAAGTAGATTTTAAGTAATTTATGGAATAACGCTTAAAATTACCCTAAAGACGATGGAACTAGGCATGTTATTCTAAGATCACGCAAAGTTAATCGACACTTTCCGTTCATGAAGAAAAAACAAATTTCGTTTTTACTTAAAATTGTCGATGATGTTAGAACCTCATGGTAGGTGAACAACCATTACTCTTACCGTCACTAGAGACCAAAAAACTATACCACCTTTTTTACTGTCCTTACACTGAGCATAAAATATTAAGAACCCATCCAAGTGCTACACATAAAAACTATTAAAACAACACTATTTTATGATAGAATAGAAGAATATTTTCATCAGACAACACATCATAAATCACAAGGAATACGTTCAAGCTATAAATCTGAAAGGGCAATTAACGTTCTCAAAATGTTAGAAAAAAAGATCAAAATTGACTGACTGTTGTCAGAGTAGGAATTTAAATTGGTAGAAACATAGGAACTAACCCCATTGGCCCAGAATTAACTATTGTTTCACGGCTTGTTGCTTGTCCAAACATTTGAATGGATGGACAAAAAACAGCAGGTACCACAAATGGGGTGGCGGTGGACGAAGAAATATATCGATGGAAATGTCAGGATCAACGAAATAACAGCTTTTGAGGTTGACTTAATGACATAAATAGGGGTTTGTGTAATTTATATTTAATATCTTTTTTTATTTTTGGGCAGGTGTCAATTTGATGATCTTTTGTAAAGCTTTTTGTAAGCCTAAACGATTAAAGTTGTCTTAGATAAGTGAATGATGTATCTATAGTTATTAACTTGTTCGGACGATTAATATCAAAGAAATTAGTAACCCTAATTAAATCATAACCACTAACCACTGATAAGCCCTTAAGAAGTTTTTTTGAGATCAAAATAATTATATCCAACATAAAATCAAAGCAACGAAAAACAAACCCAAACTTATTTTTGAAACTTAACCCAATAATAAATCGGTCATTCTATTTTAAACCACTTCCAGCAACTTATACACAATGGCTGAAAGGACTCGGTTTTGTTATTGATCTGGTTAAAAATAACAAACACTGTTTTATGGCTACCATTATCGAGTTACGGCCGCTCGTATAAACAAGTGCACTAGTCCTGCCAGTTGGTCGACATGATTTGACAATGAAATATCTGTCAAGGAGATAGGAAATGAAGATTTTGTCACAAATAATAATCTTTAGTCGTGAACGACTACATCCATCTTCAATTATAACAATTAGGTATCATGAGCAGCTAAGTAGAGCAATCAAGCCAAAAGATGAGATAAACTAGAAATATTATCCATCAGAACAATAAACCAAACAATACATTAAAATTCTTTTAGTATCGTTTGAAACAAAACTTGCAAAAAACAATCGCAATTTAACGTAAAGTGAAGATGTAATACTTTGATAAACAGGAAAAAGACTCACTGAAGCCATCACAAAATGGAGAAGAAGCAATTAAAATAATTGCAAAACACAATAAAAACGAAATTATGTCAGAATTACGTGCTCACGAAGGAGGTCAGTGTAGTAAAATTACGAGTAATGCCAGCCCGATACGGTTTGTTAGAAATAACAATGAAATTCTTGTAGAAGAAGAAGAAATCATTATACATCAAATCTTTAAGATATCCAATTAGGTTAGTAGAACCGCTGACGTATGGGTGTGTTATAGTGGTTGTAAATTGTTTAAATCACATAATAATAAATGATGCATTTGCAAAAAGAATTAACTGCCGGAATCCTAGACATCTTTAAAATCCATACATTCATAATTATTATGTACTAGCTTCTGCCCGCGACTTCGTACGCGCAATCCCATTTTCACCCCGTTCCCGTTCGTGATTTTTGGTAAAAAGTAAAAAAAATATTGCATAAACAGTATCCTATGTCCGTCTCCTGGTTCTAAGCTACCTCCCTGCCAATTTTCATCTAAATCGATTGAGGCGTTCTTGAGTTATAAATAGTGTAACTAACACGACTTTCTTTTATATATATAGATTAGCTTAGCCACTAGTGTCACGAAAAACGTTTAATATCTACCTAAACTACATAGAATATTTTAAGGATACTAATATAACGACTAAAATGCAACCAGCTTTTGTACGCCACGTGGAAATCCTATTAACAAATTAGTACGTGTGTTATTTAATAGTGATAATCCTATTGACAGCAATTACAGTCACAACTAATAACTGTGAACAAAAACACAATCAACTGAAACAATAATATAATAATAATAATGGTAAAGAAAATTGAAGCACCAATCTCTAATCAGAATAAAAAAAAACTAATTGTATTTTGGTAAATCAACCGCCATAAAACATTATAGATCGCCACAATATCACTGGTGCGTATCAACCTTGTGGTATCGTATACACCTCCTAGATTGGTTACAATACAATTAGGTACTCTCGTAACTATGATAAAAACGAAAGCTATAAAAAACTTTCAACGTGCTACTAAACCTTTACGAATAATAGTTAGCTTTGAAAAACAAACATAGTAGATTCGAGATAGTGGTCAAACGCCTTACCAAATTACCAAAAAATTAATGACATTAAATCGACCATACATATCCCAATAATATGCAGGATCCTAATGTCGTTAATAATTGGAACAGATCGTGTGAAATAAAGGAGTAGATTAGATCACAGTTAAAAATGGGTAAAACCCTCTAGTAGTGACTACTGTCATGGATGCGTCAACAGATCCAAATTCGAAGAAACAGAATAGTGTGATAAAGACATTGCTTGATTGAATAATGACAGTAATGTACTGCGTGATACCATTGTCTTAATACACACACGTAATGAGGATGTTATAGTTAAACTGCGATCGCTTAAGGAGGATAAGTGCAGATTTGCCACCTACTTGAAACCTTTGGCGTGAAGTGCAAGGATTAAAACTTGATCCAATTGCCTTGTGGTGGCGAATGTGGTGCGTAGGAACTAGCACAATTTGTTGTAGCTAGATTATGTAATAGTAAACAACATTGAGGTACAGTATAAATCTATGAATAGGTATGAAACGGTAAAGTAAAAAGTAATCAAGGAAAAAATCAACTACTTCAATCAAGGAAACTTTTTCTAATCAGACACTTACTATGAATATTTCCGCAATCAATCAGAAGGAAAAACAACCAATAAAGATCGCAAGTATCCATTTTTGCTGCGAACGCAACGTTTATTGAATGACAATATAATGAATGAATTATTCAC